GCCTCAGTTCGAGCGACAGAAAGGGGTAAAAAAAAAAGAAAAAAAAAGAAGAAGAAGAAGAAAAAAACGTTTTTGAGTTGCATTTTCTCTTTGAGCGTTCGAAAAAGGTTGTAGTGTTGTTATTTCGATTTGGGTGTTGTGATTTAGTGTTATGGGGCTCGAAAAAGGTTGTGTTGTTTTTTGTGATTTGTTTGATTTTTTTTTTTTGGGTGGGATGGGGCGTGGTTGTGATTGTAGTGTTGTAGGTTCCGAGGGTTGGTGTGTATTTGCTGTTATTTGTGAATAAGGTTTTATTTCGTTAAGGGATGTGTGTGTGTGTATGCTTGTCTTATGGGCTTGAAAAATCTTGAATTGTTGTTATTTTTGTTTATTCTATTTATTGAGTTTTATCTTATTTTTGCCTTATCTTACGTATTTCTTTATTTTATATTATATATTTTTTATTCTTTATTTTATTTGATTTTATTTTATACGCTCGAAAAAGGTTGTATTGTTGTTATTTTTTGATCTGGGTGTTGTTTTGCTGCATTCGTTGGGATTGGGTGTTGTTTGATGTGTGGTGTCATAGGCTCGAAAAAGGGTTGTTTGGTTTGTCATTTGTGATTCAGGAGTTGTTTATTTCGTTAAGGATGGGTGTGTTGTGATTGTGGTGTCATAGGCTCGAAAAAGGTTTTTGGTTGTCATTGTGATTCAGATTGTTTTATTTCGTTAAGATGGGTGTGTTGTGATTGTAGTGTCTACAGTTGACAAATAACACCTTGTGTATTGTTGTTATCCTTTTATATGGGTGCGTGTTTTGTGTATCGCAGGATCGGTCTCTGTATTGTTTCGTTATTTTGTGATTTCGGTCTTTTTGTTCTGTTGGTATTCTGTTAGGGCGGTTGTGTTTGTGACTGGAGTCGTGTGCTTCGTTCTTACTGTAAATTTGAGCTCCTCTGTTCTACTATTCTTCGTCAATATTTTCATTACTGTTGTCTATCAGGTTGGATACTTTCTTCGTCTCCCTCGCCCTCAAATTTCTGCTCTTCATCCTAACCTCTGAGTACTGCTCCGTTCTATTACCATAGCTCCCTGCCCCATCACTCTGTCCATCCATCTCTCACCACCTCATCACCTATCACATCACCTCCACTTTTTCATAACCCACATACAATCACCTTCATTCATCACCAACTCATTCACATCTACTCACTAACATCATCACTCATTTCTAACTTACACTCACCACCACTACCCCCGAGTCCGGCGTTGAACTGACCGCTTCCCCGCCTAGCCACACTTCCAACTAGACTCATAGATCTCGCGAAAAAAAAAATAACTTCCATCATACCCTATCCACCACTCATAACCACTACCCATCACCGTCTACCACCACCCCTTCACCCTTCACGTCCCTATCACCAAACAACACTACCTATCCCCCACCACCCCATCCACCTCACTCACCCCCTACCCCTCCCTTCCCCCACCCGCTTGACTGACTCCTCCCCAGCCCACTACCTCTCTCCAACGAGACTCAATAGTCTCGCGTGAAAAAAAAAAAACTTCAATCGACCATCCTACCCACCATTAACCTCATCCACCACCACCGTCACCACCTACCCCATCCTCACTCCCTCTACCATCACCCACATACCCACTACCACCCCCACCACCACCACCCCCCTCCTCTATCTACCCCACCCCCTCCCCCACGCTTGCGTGACTGACCGCGCTTCCCCCGCAGCCCCCACTCCAACGTAGGGACTGCATCATGACTCTGCGGAAAAACACTCTCTCTCTCCGTAATTTCTTCGGCTTCGGAATATACATTTGGGGAAGGATGGGCGCAGTCTCTGGCGCGTTTGAAGGAAGATGCGTTGCCGCTCGATTAGCACCGCAGCGCTCGTGCGTGGTCGCTTCTGTGCAATAGTTTCCCTCTTGGCTGTTGTACTTGTGAAAGGACCGGTGGGAGAGGGGGTGCGCACGGCGTAGCGTGTCTTTTCTCTTTCTCGCTCTATACGCGGGTGTGCTTCTCTCTCCACGCAGTTTCCTGTGTGTTTTGTTGTGCTTTTGTGTTGTGTGTGTTCATCATCTGTTTCTGCTGTGTGTGCGTCTGGAGTTGTCGTTGTCCGTGGTGTGTGTTGCGTGTATCCGCTGTGCTATTTGTGGTGTGGTCGTTAATGTTTGTTTCCTCCTGCTTTTACCATTTCCTTTCCTCCCTCATAATATAAAATGAAAACAAAAACCTCTCTACACGGCCAACTGCTGTGAATTACAAAGCGACAATTTTCTAACCCATAACATATTACCCCCCGCGCTCCCTCTCTCCCCCCAAAAAAAAACTTCTCTTATCGATACTCCCCCTCACCACCACCCTCCTATCGCAAAACCCCATCAACCAACCTACAACCAAAACCCTACAACCAACCCTTCAGCCCCGTACACGTCTAAAGCCATAACGACAAGAACGCATCCTCTCTTCATACCCAAACTTCATCCCTTCGACGCAGAACAGCAT